TCTTAAGCGCAAATATCAATAGATTTGATAATGGACCAAAACGCACATCTACTGATTAAAAACAACGAAACATCCCCTTGAAAATACACAATTAAGATATTCTTCTGATACAAATAAGAGCACCTACCACTAACTTTCTTACTAGGACATCCTTATTTAAAGTTACCATAATTATTTCAAAGACAAAATCATATAAGAATATAATATATAAAACAAATATTTTTTTTAAAATATCACACGATAAAGACAAGGGTCAACCAAAAAGTGACAGCTAAACATCATTGGTAGGATTAGGCTCAGTTTGTTCTCCGTTTGTTTTCATTGGTCGGAGATTAGCTGCTAAGTGAACATATTTTTTTTTTTTAATTGCTCAAAAAGCAAACAATAACCAGCATTCCACTCTACAGGCATGAAGAGCATGGGATCTAAGGCCAAATTTGACTTGTAGCTTCAGACACATTGAGGTAGTGATTCGTCACGTGAGCCGCCGACGTACTCCTCTATTTGACCACACAACTTTAGCAGCGTGTTTATAATTCGTTCATTTTAACTTTTATATGTATATACAATTTTATATCGTCTTCGAGTTTTTTTTTTTCTAAATACCCTTGGAGGAATTTCGCTGCAGCACACCTAGCGTCGTATATCAGCTATTCGGGGTGCTAAGACACTTCGGTTGCTGTGCTTTGGTTTACATGATTGACGTGGTCAAGGCTGGTACGCGTGGTAATATAAATGTTTGAAAGATGACATAAAATGTAAGATTAAAATATTTAAATTTTTAAAGTAACTTACATTTTTTTTTACCTCTATTGAGGTTTTTGTTTCAATCATCTGTAACACGTGTTCTTTAAAGTTCTAACTTTCCCCTGTTTTGAACAGTATGGCGTCGTATCCGGTTCCTGTCCTGACGATGCTGGTTTCGATTTGGACGCCTACGACAACGCAGCAGATATCCGAGCACGTATTAAGTCGTACGAGAACAGAAAACTCCCATCTCTCGTACAGGTAAACATTACAACTAAAATAGAAACACTTCTTTAACCTGCATTTTTTCTAAATATAGAAAATACAAGTACAAAAAAGTTATCCAGTAAATGAATTTTCAAAAATCTTATTTATTCTTATTGATCAACATCAGAGTTCAGGGAGACTTTGTTAAAAGTTGTCGACCGTTTCGATGGGAAGAGGGTAAAATTTGGTATTAGCTCCATTAAATGGGCCATTCACGAACTTTCTTCGTCAAATGACATGGTGTCAATCTCTTCGCTAGAGTCTCGCTGCCGATGGTTACACTGCGGCTAGGGGTGCCAGGGATGGCGCCAGGAAGGTTGCTGTCATTGTGGCCAGCAGAGACAAGAAACTTGCAGATTTGCAGGCGGAGGTCGACAAACTGGTGGCCGATGGTGTCAAGGTAATCTGTTTGGGCTTCGGCACGTTTCGTCTCCAGAAATGTATGAGAAAATAATTGGGATTTTGTAAATTCTCAATGACAATTTTTCGAATCAATGAGTCATTATTTTATATATATTGTTTTGATAACGGAGGTTACAATTTCGTGAAAGGACACAATTACAGCAAAACGAATCATCCGACATTGTTGAAGACACATTATCTTTAATGAATTTTTTTTAAAATATATTTTTTAATTCTTCATATTGATAACATGACAAATGATTATATAATAAAAGCAGATAATGAGTGGGCGCATTTCAGGGCTTGCGTGGTGGGACTTTGTCACGGAGTTGGGGGGGGGGGATAAATTCTAGTTACGCCCCTGAGTGGGATGTTTCATTGACGGAACCTAGTTCTGTAAGATTTCATGGACAAATCCAACTCGCTTTAAAAAAAAAATTCTATTTGGGCCGATCTTGTTGAGAAACCATTTTGTTAAAAGAGTTGTTTTTTTTTTATTATTTCACTTAGGATAATAACACGATGATCTCATTTTCTCTCACAGGTCTTCATCGCTGACCGAAATGGCGACGGCATCTCTGTCCAAGGGGCAGAGACCTTGACCGAACGTGTGGCCTCGCGACAATCGGATCAGCTTGTGAATGCTCTGTGTTCCTCGAAATAAAATAAAAATGACACTGGTGGGTCAACTTTGATTTCAATCACTCGTATCACGATTTTGATGTAATCCGTAGGAAACATTTTAATATTTCATGCACTTTTCTTTTCACCCGTGCCTGATATTTTCAAAATAAATTTGACATCTTGTCCTTATTTTAAGGCGTTTAATATATATCTGATTAGAATTTAATTCTTTTCCTCTATTACTGGGAATAAAGCTGTTTTAATTTTGTTTGGATCAATTATTTTGAAAGCATCTCGTTAGACACATCACGTCGGTTCCTTTAACCCAAACCTAAATATTTTGTCTTAAATCTTTTCTTTCACAGACATTACTCTACAAGCACAGACAGTACTCTACAAGCAGAGTCCTCAGCTCTGATGTTAACTTAATTTTTTTCGAGCTGTGATCTACGTTTCAGTATTATCAATTCTTTTATAATATTCCATTAGATTTAACATGATTCAGCGTTACTGTTCCTAATGTATTATAAACATAACGCTTGACATACATTTAACTAGGTAAGCTACTATTATAAAAATATTAATCAAATAAAGTTTTTTTTTTAATTTATAACCAAAACAATGGCATAACTCTCAAGCCAGCCAAGACTTTTTTTAAAAAGATTATTTCGTCTTTTGTGTTTTAAGATGTTGTTTTTTATTATAAAAACTATATAACAGCGCATTTTACAATATTAAAATATTTCTTGTGAATTCTTTCCTCAGTAATTTATACAACTTTGATGACAATAAAACACTCAAACAAAAACACATAATGTTTTTATTTTATTGTACAGATACAGATTTGTTGTATTTTTGTTGTATTTTGCATGTGTGTTTTGTAGACTTGTTTGGTTTCCTTGTTGGAGTTAACTGTTGGAACTTTTTTTTTAACATTCTAATTTAATGGCGGAAATCTATAAATAGGACATCCGGGATTTCCGTTTGACCAATCTTTCAAAGTATGTTCGGTACCCGATACTTTTACATTAATGCGAGTCATTGAAGTGGGACAATACTTAATAACAACTATAATTGACGAAAGATTTTATAAACACACACATTTTTAATTTTAAAAAAACATTTATATATAGCAGCCATGTTTTATGAGATCATTGTAAAGTGATATATTAAGGGTAACATTAAATATGCACTGTCGCGTGTCAAGGTCTGAGAAATAACAAAACCTTAATGGTTTGTGAGAGCAGGGGAATCTGTGCGTAAATAAGCCAAGCAACCAAGTTTCTAGACTTTTCTCCTCAATGTCTTATCATGATATGAAGATTGTATAACTCCTTTGGCCACATGTCTTGGCTTGGTAGCAGGGCAGTTCTTGGGCAGCCATTTCATCAGACCACTGCTCAGGAGATATTCCGCCAGTTGTGTGATGCTATTGTGGATGCCGCTATGCAGTGGAAAAAAATTTGCAGGAATAACAACCGACGGAGCGCTATCAATGACAGGGAGAATAAATGTTCTAGTGGCACATGTTCAAAGAACACTTGAAGAGGAGGGTGTGGAACACATCAAGGCACTACACTGGGTTATCCACCAGCGAGCCCTTTGCAGCAAATGCCTGAAGTTTGACAATGTGATATCTGACGTTGTCAGATCCAGGGGCTTGAAGCACCGGCAGTTTCGTGCATTTTTAGAGGAAATAGAGTCACCATATGGGGATGTTATCTAATACACCTAGGTACGTTGGCTTAGTAGGGGAAACGTTTTTGAACTGAGAGCAGAAATCAAAGCCTTCATCTAGAAGGATGGGCTGGTTGTTCCTCTATTAAATGATGCTAAATGGCCCATGGACTTGTCGTTTCTTGTTGACATTACACAAGAGCTGAATTAACTCAACAAGAAGTTACAAGGCCAAAGGAACCTTGTCAGGGTTGCCTATGACAATGTCAGGGCATTCTGAACAAAACTTGTGTTATGGAAAGTCCAGCTTCCCGAGAGAAACCTCTGCTATTTTCCAAAATGCAAAGTACTCATGGACTCGGGCACACCATTCAATGGTAAGTATACCGATTTCAATGAAAAGCTACAGGAAGATTTTGATCACAGGTTTACAGACTTCAAGACACTTAGAGCCACTTTTCAAATTTTTGCTGACACTTTCTCCTCCCCCCCCCCTCCCCACCCACTTTGCTTTAAATGAAGCTGATTGAATTTCAGTGCAATTCTGAACCCAGGGCAAAGTTCAGGGAGATGAATAGAAAAACAGACAAGCTTGGAAAATTTATGAGAGAGTTGCCCTCCACCTTCCCTGAGATATCAAAGTTGATCATGTGCCTTTTTTGGGAATACCTATCTGTGTGAAAATCTCTTTTCCACTATGAACTTTAACAAGTCAAAGTTCAGGGCGAAACCTACTGATGAGCATCTTCAAGCCATACTGAATGTCTCAGTTGCTTCCTCACTCAAGTTACATGTTGCTTAGCTGTGTAAGAAGAAGCGCTGCCAGGTCTCTAACAACAATAGAAGAAGAAAGTAAGTAACCCTAGTTCTTGAGAACCCTTAACTTTTTATTTGTTATTAATACAGTTTAAGCAAATTGTAACAGCTGTACTTGAATTTGTATTCACTTTTTTGTGTAAATTACTTAATGACTTTTTAATTGACAGGATATCATAATGATAATCTACTAAACTTGAGACCATCCGTTTATTTTACTGTTTGATTTCTCTTTTTATTTTTCCTCAGTCCGTTAAATAAATGTCCTTCTTAACAAACATATTTTTAGCTTTTTTGGTTCCCAAACTATTGTTAAACAGTACTTTTCAATTGTAGAGTATTTTATCTGTTATTTATTCAAAGCTTTATTGCGATACCAGATTGGTTTTAGTGTAGTGTTAACTAATTCAAGTGTCAACCAAGATGGTGGCCAAAATGTAGTTCAACATGTTGGCCTAATGCCGGCAGTTGTGCTCCAATTATTTGCTTTTTTTATTTGGAACCTGCAATAAAGTGTGTATTTCATGAAACTGCAAGTTGGGTTTTAATTATTTCTTTGTTTAAGAATTATTTTTGGCTTCTTTTTTTTTCCAGACCCCTCTCCCACTTTAAATACCAAAATCAGAAACAAATAAATTATCTGGGGAGGAATCCCTCCCCAATATAAAAAAATAAATAAAATAGGCCGACAGTTGATCCATAAACCTAACCCAAAGCCTAAGGCCACAAGTAAGCAGCAACGGTTAACAGCCGTAAAAACACATGGAATTTGAAAATGAACAAAAAACCCCATAAAAATGGCAAAAAAAAAAAGCCAAAAATAATTCTAAAACCAAGAAATAATTAAAACCCAACGGCTTTACCAACCCAACTTACAGTTTCATGAAATACACTTTTACCCCAACTTACCCTTAAAATGAATGGCATGCTTGTTAAAAATAGTCTAAATACACCTTTACTAAATATTGAAAAAGGCCTATCCAAAGAAAGCTACTGGTATCTATAAAGATTCTTTAGCACAAATTGCAGCTGAGACTTCCACTGGAGGATTAGTCACACTAGTCACTTATGTAGGTTTCATTAAAAAAATAAGCTACATCCATTCTCTTCCTGAAGACTGAGAGAGGCCAAAGAGCTTCTTCAGGAATCAAAATATTATTTGCCACAGTATCGTTAATTTTTAGGCTTTTACACTAATATAAATGATAGAATTGTTTGACAGGTTTAAAATAACTTTTGCCCCCTCATGATTACTTTGTATTAGTCCAATGTCCATTTAATTTCCTTGTAAATCATTTTCACCCTATGACAGTGGGTCAATATCAGCGTCTCTAAAGCAGCATGTGGCACTTTGTAAGAATAGATTCAGCTCTCTAATTTGTTTAATTAACGACTTTTGAGCTTACAGCCCCTCTCTGTGGCTCGGCTCTTGACCCTGAATAATTTCTCAGCATACATAATTTATAAAATGACTCCTCACTCAAAAACCGTTATCATCCTCTGAAGTTAAGCCTTGAATTGCTCAGTACATAATTAACCTATCATTTCAATATTTCCAACTCACATTTATCCCCTTATGTCTTCTAAAGATATACAAAAAATATTTGTTCTGTATTATTTTAGGGTTTCTGCACCTGTTAGACAGGCCCCTGCACCTGTCAGACAGGCCCCAGCCCAAGTACCAGCTCATGCGCCACCACCTCCTCCACCAGCAACGTATGGCCCACAACCTAAACAGCCTGGTATGTTTGCCCAGATGGCAACTACAGCTGCAGGTGTAGCAGTTGGCTCAGCAGTGGTCAGTACTACAATTTTATTAATTTTGGCCTGTTGTAAATGTCATTGCTTTGTATGAAAATTATTTCTCAACTTCATTAAACATGCCTCATTTAAAGGGGGGAGGGGGGGGAATATTCGCTCTGACATAATAATATCTCTCCTTGTTATTTTACAGTAACAATTAAATCATGCACCCCCTTCAGATTTCTTTGAATGTATGATTCTGCATGATTTAAAAAATAATTTTAAAAATGTATCTTTGTGTTAGTAGTTGCTATTATTAGTATTATTATTATTGCAACTTTTGTCTATCTCAATTGTCTTTAGTTTGTTCTCATTTACAAATATTTAGGAACGTAACAAAATCATTTAAGCTACTTCAATTTTAAAAAAAAAGTAACTTCTCTAGGATCTGGAATATGGATAAATTAAGAAAATCGTTCAGCTGAAAGGAATTATGCTATCAGCTTTAAAAAAAAAATCCCCTACTTATGCTGAATTTGTATCGTTGACATAACATGGATAACATTGGTTTAACATTTTAGAAAATTGTTGACGAAAGTCAATTATGTTTTTACCATGTTATTTATTGATTGATTTATTTTTCTCAGGGACATGTTGTTGGTTCTGCCATCACAGGGGGTTTGGGAGGTGGTAACAGCCATGAGTCGGCCCCAGCTCCTGCCGCTGCCCCAGCACCTGTAGCTGCCCCCGCTGCACCAGCCCAGCCACTATACAACAATGCTGATCAGAGGGCCAATCCTTGCCAGTATCAACTTCAACAATTCCTTGAATGCACACAGACACAACATGATATAAGCCTTTGTGCTGGGTTTAATGAAGCCTTGAAGGAATGCAAGTTTCGATATGGTGAGTTAAGATTTGATTTTTGTGTTTTAGTTTGATAGCTGCTGTTTAGTATTTCATAATTTTATCACTATTCTCTTGAGAACAAAGTTATGAGCCCAAGGATGGAGCTAGTAAGGGGATATTGATTGGTTGTTGTTTTTTTTTGTTGTTGTTGTGAATTAAGTCATTTTTTTCCATTGAACCAATTCTTTTTCAGATTAGATAACAAATAAACTCCTCACAAATGTCAAAAACAGTTCACTTAGCAATGGTTAGCAATCAGTCTAAGGACCGTACTCTTGTCATTGATGAGGATTATATGTAGCTTCTTAAAAATTTATGATCCATGAGGTTCACTGACTTCGCTTAACTTTGTTTAATTTCATGAAAAGTAATTTGAGAGTTATTTGCTTCTGTAGCTATTAATCCATTTGTCTGTTCACAGGTCTACAATGAAACAGTAACAGAAGTCAAGTAATCTCAGGCCCTCCAGATGGTTACACCAGTCAAATGTACATAGTGCAGATGGGCATACAAGTGACATTAACAAAATTTAGAGTGAATTTATTTATTTAGACTCATAGTCAAGAGAACCTAGAGATAGTTCCAGTTTATTTGTTAAATGAAAGAGGTGGTATTATATGGGCTTTGAGTTTTCCAATTTTCTTTTTCACTTCTGTTTGAAAGATCCTTCATTAAATTTCTCTAATTTATCTTTTTTTTTTTTTTTGCCCCTAATTTTACATTTTGAAACTGAATTGAAGAGTGTACAAGTTTTTAAAAACTTTTAAGTAGTACTTGTACAGTATAAATGAATAAATTCCTCAGACCTCAAGTCTAGCCACAAAAAAAACAAACACTTATTTTGGATGGTTGTCTGTGTGCAGTAAAGAAGAGCACTGTCTGGTTTTTTAACATTGTTGTATGCAATAACCACATTGTATACTGAAAATAACCTACAGATATTATAAATAAATGGTCATGCACAAAATTGTTGAATTTGCTTGAAAGTCATTTTGTCATGTCAGTTCAATTCGTTTGCTTTGTGATTTTGATTTATAAAAACAACTTGAATTAAACTTGCACTTGCTCGCTAGTTAACAATTTTCCTAAATTCTAAGCCAAAATTAAATGTTTGTCTAATCTCAAAGAGCTGAAATTATAGGAAGATCATAGTCTTGACAACACCTTCAATAAATTTTTTGCAGATCTTTGATTGACCAATGCCATCTTATGCGGTAAATAGTTTTCCTAGGATTTTATTGTTGGTTATGATTTAAAAGATTATAATGAATTGACTTTAAAGGCAACTTTTTAACTACAAATATTAAGTTATAATTTTAATCAATCCCTTGTGTTTTTTAAATTTGTAAAAAAAAATTATTTTTTGCTATGGTATTTTATAATTAAAAGATCAACTTATAGTTATGATGTATTTCATGCCAAATCTCGTCTGGACAATAATGATTACCAAGTGATATGAAATCTTGGGCCAGATTTGCTAAGATCAGCTGTGTGTGAATCTTGCCAACAATCAGATGGTGTTACTAAAAATTATTTTATTGGATTGTGCCAACAATCAGATGGTGTTTTTAAACATTAATGTATTGGATTGTGCGTACACCAATAATATACTGTATCTTTACAGTTCTGGAATTTAATAACCCTCGGAAAATATCCACCTTTATCCTAATTGTCATTTAACCTTCAATTTTGTTAGAATTTCTTAAATAAAAATCATAGTCACACAATTTATAATCCAACTATATACTGTTTTTAGTTTTTTAAAATCTATTGCATCTTTTGCATTTAGGGAACATGATGTAACGTGTAAGTGTAAGACACAGAAAATTTGCGAAACATTGTATGGCAAAACCTGAAAAAAAGATCAGAACAAAGCAATGATTTACTTAACCTAATTGCAGCGCCCCCCCCTCTCTGTGGTCATGTAAGGTTGAGGCAATCATGATTTAGTGTTGTTACACTGCTGGTGCTATGTTAGCTAAATGATTGAAAAATACAAACATTAATGTGCACTAACTGAACGCATGGAGGAAAAGTAAAAGGACTAATAAACAAACTTTGTTAATTTAAGAGCTATGACTAAGTGAAGACTTTGGATAGTAATTAGATGGCATATGTAAAGATTTCAGATAGTATTAGTAGTATGATACAAGCAAATCTGATAAATTTAATATCACCACATTGTGTTTGTCTACTTCGCTAAATATTCATATTGAAAGTCACCCTCGTTCAATTTTACATTGTGCTATCTTTGATGAACGGAGATCATAATTGTATCCTTTGTTCGGGATTTCAATATTCTGTCAAGATGGACAGTGGTTGACATGGTAAGTAAGTTAGTCGTGGAAAAGTCGATGAATTTTTTTTTTTTACATGGGAAACAACCACACTCTAGTCGAGACACTTTGTATTAAGTGGATTCTGTCCCTTGTGCCGATCATTCGTTCGGCACACTTTACTTCACAACTGAACTCCATGTAACTACCATACTACTGCTCTACCTTTGCCCTACCCAGTGTTTCTTTCACTTTCAGGCATCTCGTCTAGGAAAAGAGGTGGGGGCGAACTTTTTTTATAGATGAGAATCCATTAGAAAGCTAAATGATTTTTTTTTTTAACTAGCTTGCCGATTATTATTCCAATATCAACTTCATCGATGACTTATAACAGTAGCCAGCTTTGAAAACTCATAAAATGTATAGACCTTTCTACAAAACATATTATTTTTTTTTTTTTTTTTTTTTCCTTTTTTCTCTTTTTTTTTTAACTAGCTTGCCGATTATTATTCCAATATCAACTTCATCGATGAATTATAACAGTAGCCAGCTTTGAAAACTCATAAAATGTATAGACCTTTCTACAAAACATATTATTTTTTTTTTTTTTTGCCTTTTGACTCTGGTAAAGTTTAAAACTTAAATAGAACATTCAAATATTATAATACGTATATTTTGTATTTTAAATTTACGTTCAACGCGTACAATGGTGTTATCAGTGCTTTTTTAAACTCAAAATTGCTTAATAATACCGTAATAAAGACACAAAAGACTTTATCATTTAGTAATGGTAATATAAAAAAAAATATACGTATAACAAAAGCAGGTTTCGAGGCCCCCTGCCAGCTTTGGTTTTGTCCTCCACCAACTGCCATTGAAAGATACAATTAATGTAAACGTGTCCACATCACAACTTCAAGTCCTTTACATCTCAGTGGCCACCTGCAGCCGCAGGGGCTGAGGACACACGGGGTGGCTCTGAAGTTAAGGGACACCTAAAATTTTAACTGTGACCTCTTCCGCTGATCTCCAATTATGTGAAGATTGTTGCAAAACTTGATTGCATTTTTATATTATTTTGAATGTTATCCAAAATGTTTTGGGGACTTTAAAGATGTAAGGGATAAGAATAAGCAAGGGCGATAAAACTGGAATAAACTTATTTTATTCTTGGCTGGGCGGAGCTAGAGATGTTTATTCGTTATTATGGCTAATTCTGGTGATTACCACCCAAAATTTGTCTGGAAGAAACACGAATTCACGTATGCGCCAAAATGCATCATTGCATTTTGAATTTGGCTGACAGTCTTCGACATTCTCAATTTCTGCAACCCCCCCCCCCTTTTGTTTTTTCACTCACGCTAATAAAAAAACTGCGGGGTTGAATCTAAGCTTATGCCAAATGATTACCTTGGGGGTCGCTACAACCATAATGAATTCAGTCCATGTATGGTACTGGGCGCCATAATGGCTCCCCGTCGATTAAGAAATTCCTTCCTCCGATCCACTATGCACGTTTTGATTTTGACATAGTCAAATATTGTTAGATTTTGTGGTGCCAGAGTAAAAATTTTCAGTTAACACCCCCACTCTGAAATTAATTATTTTCGTCTATAAAATACCATCAAAGCACATTGTGGCGCCCCGACTACCTGGCGTCCGGGGACATTTGTCCCGTCCGCCCCTCCCCCACCCCTTGACCTACGTTGTCCAGTTCGTAAAGCCATGGATCAGCGTGCATTGTTATTCATTGCCCCACCCCTCCACCTCCATCGCTTGGCTTCTAGAAGATGTGCTTTGAGATACCGGCAATACATTCCCAGTTTTACTCCAGTTTCAATTGAACTATTCAGTCAGGAGACCATTATCAAGAAATTTAATTTCAAATTTTCCAAAAGATTTCCTTAGTTTTTTTGCTTATGCCTTATTTTGTGTAATTTTGAAATTGATATTATTTTCATAGTTGACAGTTAATGGCCTCTCAATATTTCTGTACATGCAAACACAAAAATATTTATACCTTAGCTAAGCCAAGAGATTAATTTTGTTGGATTAATTGAAACAAAAGCTCTTCACACGAATACTACGCATAGTTGAATTAGATATAAGATAAGGTAAAATGAAATTTTCTAACTTGTTGAAATTTTAAGACTGTTCTTTTGGGGTATAATTTGCAAATATATATTGGAAACAGCCAAAATTAATGAGTAAACATGTTCTAAACCGTCGAGCTGCTCTGTTTGAAGCTCGGATCAGCTCCTTGCCGTAGCTGTAAGCAAAATAAAATAAAATGGATTAGTTTCAAAGAGATTTCACAACATATAAAAACAACCGCATTCAATATCGCTGCAACATCACTCTAGAGGTAGCACAAACCAATGAAAGGCCACAGACACGCCAGAGAATGCTTACACGGACTACACCTTCAAAGACATTACACTTACACATGTGATGAAACGATATTTGCACACCAGAAGCTAACGGTACCTTCATTGATTCCTGCATGTAATTTCAACAGATGCTAAGTGATTAATTTATGGGATCATGCAGACCCACCTTATTTTTAGACCAACTAAATCACCAACAAAAAATCAACACCCGTTTCCTGAGTGTTTGCAGAGTTTTGTGATGAAATCATCGGCTTGATACCCGGGCAACCGACCGGACAATGTCGACGCCCCTGCTACGACCAGACCGGAGTTCCAGGGGTCAGCTAAGTAAACCTGAAATAATACATTCCATGATCAATAATGCGCACCTGATATAATATATATTCAATTGATGAAAACGTCCATTAGTGTTGACGGGTTTACAACCAGTAAAATCAATATCGATTGTTGAGTTTACAAGAAAAGGCTCTGAAAAAGTTTTAATACTTTGCACATCCTACATCCCGCTAAGTGTTTCATTTATTATTTCAGTTATTAAAATCCCTTTAGGCTTTGCCCAATGTCTTCTTCATTCTTGTAAATAAAAAAAATATTTAAAAAAAAGAAGCGAAAAATGAATATACTGTAACATTTTGAGCCACCAAGCTCCTGACGTGTTCGTCCAATCTCTCCTCCCTGTTTGACGCAAACAACACTGCCACGCTCTTAGCACCGTCCCTGGCACCCCTGGCTCTGGTGTAGCCATCTTGGGAAAGACGCTGGCCATGGAAACAAAGGTAAAAATTGATTTTTTTTGTTTTTAACGCCTGCACAAACCGGAACAATACGTTTTATGTAACAGCCCGTTGTTGAAGATCCCTGTCACTACACACACACAGATTGTTGCTATGTGGTAAATGACAATGACTTTATAAGTTCTTCTAGCCCCTGTGGCGTAGGAGTGGAGGTAAGGGAGTGGGGGGATCGTACCCTCAAGGCGACAAGTGGGGTGGGGGTGGCGGCATAAATCTTGAGCCAACTCTGGCGGCAGTAAATCTAGCAGCGCCACTGACGAAGACATAATCACAGAGAAGGCGATGAAAAGAAAAATTATAGTGGGTGGGAGTCTTTGAGGTAATACAAGTACAAGATTACAGGGGCGTAAAGGTGGAGTGGACCCAAAACGAAGGGGCGCACATCCCATCACGCGACCGCAATGGAGATGGACGGATCAAATGGATGCCGATCTAAATCTGATATCCGTGATAGGATTGGAAACTAAAGGCCATGGATAGATTTAATATGAAATATATGTGCTGCTGGCTATGAAAATCCTCCAGCCCCGAGGCGCGTCGCTGTGCGAAGGGGCACTTGCCCGAGCGCCACAATCATCTCTTGCCTATTTTAGTGAATTAATAGAAAAAAAAATGACGTGTACTTCACAATGTCAATGTTCAAAGTAGAAATAATATCCTGACCCCGGGCAGAGATTTATAATATATATTTATAGAGAGAAGGTGCATTTTCAGGTTTCATCCC